AGGTGCATTTAATTTTGAAGAAGGTGCATTAATCATTTGGGAATTTATTCAATACCGTTCTTGGACCATAGGATCATAGGCTGTGCAGGAGACTGTTGAAGAGACTGCACCTGAGGAGCAGTAGCGTCCGCATCCGTGAGATAAGAATAGACTTTAAAAGGTCCGTTGGAAGGGTTTTTCCGACTCCGTTGACATCTAGAACGAAGGTGCGGTCATCAATCTTTTTGACGATTCGATGTGGAGCTGAGTAAGGTTGTGCCAATGCTTTTGTAAAGGGCTAGCAGGTCCGCCACAAAGTCTTTGGGGATCGGATGATGGAACGTCTTGAGAAATAATAAATTCATCGGGGATGCGTAAAGGATTATACAGCCAAAAACCATTTCTGCCTTCTTTGTTGAGAAACCTTTAAGACGCCCTGAAAGGCGGGCTTGAAGTTCGGCTGCGTATGGGACACAGTGGCGATAGTAATTGATTACGCGGAGGAATCGTCTAAGTTGCGAGGAGTCAACAGGTTTAGGGATGATGGCCTACGTTTTAAGTTGTGGATGGCGCAAACGTGGTAGCCAACGAAGATTGGGTTGGAACTTGGCTCTTTGAAGTAGCGTAAGAAACCAATTGAGAGTGCTTCCCATGATCGGCGGAAAAGACTAAGGTCCAGTTCTCTAAGGAGGTGGTTTATAATCCGTTGCAGAGATTGGGCACATTCCAACGAATGCCGCCAAAAGGCGTGGACACGGCCGTTTTACAAATATGGACAGGAGAAACTGAGATCTGGTAAAAGGCTCGTTGCAAATCGATGACCGAAAATACTGAACCGCTAGCTTCTTGAAGCAAGTTTTCAATGATTAACAGCGGATAGCGGTCTGGGCGAGTGATAGAGTGCAAATGTCGATACCCTACGGTGATGATGCCGGTCGTCAGGGACCAGCAAAAACTGGAGGTCCGGAGGTGACTATTTGATGTTGGATGGATAGATCAGGAATCGTTGCCATTTTTCTAAAAGAGGGACCAGAGTTAGACAACTGAGAGATAATAACTTTATAAGCGTCTTCTGCGCCATCCAGAGGTACTGGGGAGGAAAAGATACCGAGAATGTGGTACTGAAGAACTTGTAGAAAATTGTGAACTCCCCCGTAAAGGCTATAAATACATGAATTATTTTATTTACCAACAATTTTACAGCTTCAGCGCCACTCCATAAGAGGGTGTTGCCAGGAAGACAGAAAATATTGACCTTCATAACTTACTTTTTATACGATCATAAACGTATACTAACTTCCAGTTGATTTAAGGTTCATGCAGGTTCAACAAGGCTCTAAAAGGGCAAGTGGATACAAATATTAATAAAGATAACCAGGGAAAGGACTACTTTCGGTCACCCCAATGGTCATATCTCACCTTTCCATAGCGGAGGTAAATTCAACAGATTAGTGAAAGGGAGAAGTAAATTCAAGCAGCATCGGTTACTTACAATAAATTTTAGGTTCCTCCTCACCTAACAGCTTACAAAAATTGATACTACCTATGATATCAAAAGCTTTCAAAGGGCTCGTAATTCTGAGTTCTTCAGAGTCGTGCGGGTTGAAGGCGGTAGCTCCCAGAGGATAAATAAATACATTATCTAGGTATTTTAATCACTAAGTAACATTTTACGAGTTGTATAATACGAGTATTTTTGTGGATAATACAATATAAAATAATGTCTGCTGTGCACTTGATTGGAAGGTTACTCTTTTCCCTTTTTAGTCACATTTCGCTCGTTCTTTCGTTGACTGAACCATTTCTCACTCGGCACTCGACTTTTTTGCAACAGAATTACTCCAAGGGCCTGAAATTGGTCACCATTAGTTTGTACCGCCTGAACGACTGACGTTCTGTCGGATGACTGGTAGTAAATCTAAACATACGAGATTATAGGGTATCAATAAACACAATAAAAGAAATTAAAATGCATACCTTAGCTAATGATACATCATCCAAATGTCCAACGGTAAAAAAGGCAGTGGTTTATTACGGATTGTTGAATATGTTCTACAGCAGCGGTTCTCAACTTTTTTGAACCACTAAATCATTTTTTTTATAAATTTAATTACCACTTATACCACTTATACATGACAGTAGGTAAATAAGGCCGATTTCAGCCCACTTATGACTTTCCTATTTTACAAAAATTACCAGTTACCAATGTTCCTGTATTTTATTTTTCGATGCATTTATTTATTTGTGGAGCTTTCTTCTTTTGTTTGTTTTACTTTATGTGGTGCTGATTTTAGGTCTGTTTTACGTTTTAAGTCTGTTTTTGGCTACCACCACAAATAATAGTACCACAGGTTGGGAACCGCTGTTCTACATAAAGTGTATGCTCCATATTTTATTAGTATGTAGATACGTTATAAGGTTATAAAGTATTGGTTAAATTTTTCATGACTTCAGGTCAGCAAAAACTGGTTTAAAGCAAACTCAAACCGACACATACTATATTTTGCATATTTTCTGTGAAAAAAGCAAAATTAAAAAAAAATAAATAGCTTACTCCTTTGGTAGATTGTGCGGAATAAAACCCAAACGCTATTGTGGTCGATTATACATCCACGATTCCGTTTTCTATGTTTTTTAATAATTAATGTTAATTTTTTTAATTTTTAAGTTGCTTTTTTCATTTATTTTTCTGGGTACCAATCTGCTTGTTATAATAATTTGTTTTTTCTTTCTGTCAGAGGTGAAACCTTTTATAGGCACCACTCATTAGTGGTAGTGTGGTATAGTTTGCCCCCCTAACCTCACAGAATGTCGCTGTCTTTTCTCAGTTCTCCTAACTAGAGCACATATTTTCAATAATGTTGCCATGGTTAATCGCTTGTCCAAGTTCCGCCTTCAGTGTTCCTCTTTGAGATCTCTATCTTACACATTCAAACACCGCATGGTCTTTACTGTCCCTAGTCCTGCAATCATCTCCGCCTTTCCACCTTATTCTTTCCATGGCATCTCAAGAACTGACTCGGATAAAAATTTACTTCACCAGATTTTTGCTCAACTACTACTCTCATGACCGTTTGCACCAACAAATTTAAGCGGACAGATTATCGCGACAATGGTTGCCATGGATTTTAGGCTATTATTAAGCTAATCCGCGCTAAAATTTGTCGGTGCAAACGGTCACTAGTCGCTTTACGATAACCCTTTCCATGATCTTCCCCCCGAATCCAATAGACATATTGGTCAAACTGCCATTTTGTTATACCGCGATTAATTCCTCACGAATCGGGAGCAAGCGTCCGTTTCCGTTTCCGCGAAAGACTCATCCGACTATCCGCTTTCTACGTCTAATTTGCCTGTAATGATTCTGTATCCTTACCCTCCAATTTCGCTATCTATCCTCTAGCACAGTTCCGCCCAGCATCTCTTCTTGCTTTTTACTATTTCTTCCTACATTTCATATCCCAATTTTGATCGCCGTCTGTAACATTTCAACTGGGTTTAATGCTACCCCTTACAGTATCCAAATTACACCCGTTAGCGCCTACTAACCTTATCTCACCCTCACTGCGGCGTCAAAATACTTCTCTTCTTCTCCAGTTTATCGGCGTGGTCGCCGCCAATTTATCTCCATTGCTTAAGGCCCTATAGCTTTCGTAAATTTTATCACCAGTTATTTAGATAACACTATCGCGCCGATAAGATTGTGCCACCCGTCATTAGACACAGTTTTTCCTTGTAACCTACCCTAACTCCTTCGAGAGCCGCGTAAATCCCAACAGGGCAATTGTTTATCAAAAATCAAAAATTTATTGAATATTGCAACACCGGTAATCTGGGGAATTTAGTGTGCTTTGCGAGGGTTGTTTGCAACAAAAAATTATAGCAAGAAATTAATTTTATGTACCTATTGTCAAATTTACAAACTTCTCCTAAATAAATATTATTTAGTAGGGATGAGCTAATAACCTACACCAAAATTGAAAATTCAAAATTGAAAAAGTGCACTTTAAAATGGCATTGCAATGATTCTGTCGATGACGTGCAACGGAATTATGCTGAAGAAAGTGTATCAGGAGGTACATTATTATTCTGATCATTCTCCCGCCACAGCCATTATATTTACTGCAAGTACCTTTCAATTCATCCTCATCCTTGCGGGATAATTCTACAGCTCCCGATCTTCAAATAGTGCACTCTGAAAAACTATAAATAAAGTGCACAATTTAAAAGCTCTCATTTGAAATATATTTATACATATGTGATATCCAAGAATCCCAAATTCATTAGTTCTGAACATCTATCCTCAGATTATATAGTCCAGAAGGTGTGGGAGGTAATTGGAAGCAGGTGATTATCTCTCTACCCCATTATTCGGTGTATTCGCATGTAACAGACAGATGCATTATCATAAATTACTCGAAAGCAAGATATGGGAACGAAATACACCCTTGCTATTTCAAACTTAATGTAAAATTTAAAATAGTAAAGGCATACCTAGACCATCTACTCATAGCTGTTACGTGAAATTTAGATAAGGTATGTATATCGGTAGGTTGGTATTTCTCTAAAAAGAAAGTTCCACCGGTACTTTCAATATCTACATTTGATGAGATACAGCACACCTTCATACTAAAATAAATTTCTAATTGCAATTAGTTGCGAACTTATTAAGTTTGAAAGTGGGAGGATAGTTCAAAGGATGTATTTTATTAAAATTTGCTTCGGTGAAAGTATTTGCGAGTTCAATGTCTCGCCTTTACTTTGTCACAAAATAATTTCCTGCAAAGGGAAAAATATGGAATTTGCATATTAAGACAATGGAATGAGAATGTGGCCAAAAAGAAAAATTACCCATTCTAGCCAAAAGCTAGCTTCTCGTCATTCAAAGTAGACCTTTTTACGTTTCAACACACTAACTGACATACTTTGTTCTAAATTTTCGTACCCAAAGTGCGCATTATAATCACTCAGCGTCGCAATTTAGTTAAATATGAAACGGTAATGGTACGTATAAATTCCAGAGGCTCACGCGGATATAATAGGAGGATCCGAAAAAATTGTCAAATCTGGATCTCCGCTTCGTCTAAGTTGTATATTACGAAGAACGACGGAACCTCCTGAATATATTTTTTGGTATCACGGGGAGCACATGATCAACTACGACTTGAAGGGCGGCGCCGCAGTCCGACATGGCCGCCAGGGTAGCGAGTTGATCATCCCCAGGGCCGAGATGAAGCACGCCGGAAACTACTCTTGCGTGCCCTCAAACGCACGCCCTGCCAACGTCACCGTGCATGTGCTGCAAAGTGAGTGGCTCGAATCGATATTCCGAATTCGTCAAAGTAAATGGTTCTTTTTTAGTCAATTAAGATTACCTACCTTTCTGTCATGCAAAATTTAGCTCCTATCGCGTCAATTTACCTCTGAGCGCAGGATAATAAATCTCTCCCGCGCTTCATATGCACTTTTGATATCGATGCGCTTTTACAACTAAATGTTCTCGTAGGAGGGGGATTAATAAACTATCTTTTTGTGTAGGTGAAAAACCGGCAGCCATGCAGCATGACAGCAAGGGTGGATCTGCAGTTCCCTGCGGTAGAAGACGCGCAATAAGTATTTTGCTTTTAAATGTCATCGCCTTGCTTTGGAGATGATAGCTGAACAACACATAAATTTAAAAATGTAAATTGACTGTCTTCAATCTTATAATTGATACCGTATAGTTTCTGTTTGTACATATCTTCCTACGAAAATACCAATTGGACTGTATTTGTATCTAGAATAAGGCGATGTACAAAATGTATCATATGCGTGCGTTTCTCTATTTTACAAAATGTGTGGACAATAAGCCTATCTTAAAAATATTACATTGTACGAATCGAAATTTCTGAACGATGTTTTGTAGTTGTATTCCTCTATTCGTTTGTTACATTTGTAAAGGTTTATGTATATAGCATTAGGTTAGATGTTTTCAACTACCTAACTCGAGTTGCTTTAGATTACGGAACTGAATTACTTCATTCTAGGCACATTTTTTATTGAACTTTGTGGAGTTATTGGGAGACCGAGCTTAATTTCACCTAAACCCAATTCCGACATTTAGATTAGTGAGACGTAATCTGAAGCACTGATTCATCAGTCTATAGTAATAAATTAGTGGTAGGAGATTGAATTCCATTAGTGTCCTCAAACAGAAAGTGAATGTTTCAAGAAATAGAAGTTAATTATGCCAAGAGATTAATTGTACTATAATTATATTCATTCTTTTTGAACATGTACAGGGTACATATGTATATAAAGTATGGAATCTAAGTAAATCTGGAACTGAAGGTGCATTATTTTAGCTTTGGTATGAATTTGAGGTACGGTGCGCTGTAAATAAAAATGTATCTCCATGACTGCCACTTTGTGAATTTAAATAAAAATACACGTGGTTACATAGGAAACTGTTTTGACGAAAAGTATGTTTGAATTTATTTCGTCACTGCTAAACTCTTCACATCCAAATCTCCAATATATTGACCCTCCCCCTCCATTTAAATATTGCTGGAGTATAGGTTCAAAAGCATTTTGAACTGTTGAGCTTTCCAACGCGCGCACTTTTAACGTTTGGGTCAAAATTTAACACAACATAATACCTACTTGATGTAACCAGTGCAGTTTAACCTTAACAATCACCCTGGTTTTGAGATTTTCAATGCCAAAAATGCAATTAGTTCTTTAGATCTCGTAAAGTTAGTTAACGAACATACTTTCAGTAGATATTTGATTCATTAGCGTTTATTGATACCGCTAATCCAATAAAATTATACATCAGATCACGAAATAAGTTGGAACAAGTTAATTTCTTCTCTCTGTTATTACCTACGTAAGATTAATGATATATTTCTCAAAATTTGGATTTTGAAATCCTCAAGGATTGAAACTTGCTTTGAACAGTTTGCACTTTAACAAAAATCTATGCTTGTAAGAGAAACATTACCTATTTGAAAATCATTGGAGCGAACCAAAAGACTGACTTGCTAAAATTATTCTAGTTCCCTCATATAGTGGTGCTGGATGACTTGCTGTTACACAGTTACAGTTTCAGATTGACAGTAAACTAATAGTGCATAAAGCAGAGAAGGAAAGGAGTCCTCTTTTATTTCCAAAATGTTAACATAAATTGATTTCTTTTGGACTAATGTCTATGTTCTATGAGAAGCCGATATTTTATCGTTTGTCAACTAACCGTACACATCTTCTTTATTAAAATTGAATGAAAGCAATGCTGGGGTGAAAGTTTTTGAACTTTTTTTTTCCATAACTGGTGACACTAGGACTAATTCTTTGGGCGGGGTTTGACATTTCCCTTCGTTTCCCCAAAACTTCTTGAGATTTATGTACTAAGAAAAAAAATTGTAAACTAATTTGAATTACCTTTTGCCATCGACCAGCTCAAACCTTTCCAAAATTGTATACTTCTTTTACCTCTCCTGAGATATGAAGTGTGACTAAATGTGACTCTTGATTTTATTGTTACTGGTCAAATAAATAAACACAGAATGACCAATTGACTATATATTGAAAATCGATTCAAACTTTAATTGAATTCCATACGCACTTTCCTTAAATTCCTTTTACTAAGGTCCATGGTTGTGAAAACGTTTAGAATATTTGAGGCCGGCTACTGTGCCACAGGTAAGCCCATATGAGAAGGGGTTGTCTACCGATTCAGGCGATAACTAGCCGATTTCTATATCTATTTGACTTTTTCGGTGCTTTAGCTCCGTACTGGCATATGTACCTAGTCACAAAGATAAGTAATTAAATCACATAAAGTTTTTAAGGCACTCAGGTGATTCATATGATCCCTTTTAATGCGGGTTGCATGCCCTTCGGATGCTGCTAAGCACTTCTGTTTATGTGACTCGCCAGTCGCCATGCGCAATTCGGGGTTAACTGCTAATTAGGGATAAATGGGAAGTTATTAACCCCTGACTCCAGTCCCACTCCCGATACCCACACAAAATCCAGTTTCTGGCTTGTTGCCGACCGTCGTTGATCTGATGTTAATTGTGCAACCGATTGCATATCTTGGAGGGAGAGGGGAGTCAGTTAATTAATTAGGGTTTGTTATAACATTTAACTCGACCCTAAAAATATATGCCAAACTGTTTACTTGCACCTAGTCCTAGCTTAAAAAGTTTCAAAGATTATGAGCAGAGCGCTTGTTCGGCCCGTTTATTCCGAAGAATGCACTAGTGATACACATAGAATGGATGTCGTGTTGCTACACGAACACCAGTGATTCACACAAAGACTGTATACAAAAAAACAACTATCATTCCACGGACATGTCATTATTTACATGCATCCAAACAAATTCTTTACTTTATGCTGCGGTGAATATTTGACTGACATTTTACACTCGTGTCGTGACACACTGGAGTACCAAACGTAGACCCCTTTTCAATGCATTTTAAAGGGATTTTATTGTTAAGCATGTCCGATATATCCATTGGCACATAATCTTTCTCGAACTTTCTTTTGAAATACTAGTATATCATATAGGATTTGTTCAATATACTTACTATAGAGGAGAGAGAAGAGGAAAAAATTGAAATATTACAAATATATTTCAATAATCACAGGATTTATTTGCTGCTAAATATCTCAATAAGGAAATTTTGTTAATTGGCTGAATTCAGAACAGCATTAAAAAATTTCATGTTAGTGGTTGAATTGTTAATGAACATGTTGCCTTTTGTTCAGATTCCCATTATTCATCAAATGTTCTTAACTTTAAAATCAAGGCTGCTACGATTTATCAAAGTGGGGTGAATCAGTAAAAAATATACAGGGTGTTCCATTAAAAAAATCCGCTGTGTATTGACACCGTAAAAATGGGGACTCTGTACCTACATTCAAAAATAATTTCTGTAGATGCGCAACCATCAATAGTTGACATTTGCACAAAAGATTTTTTGATATTTTTCCAGGTATGAGCTATAAAAGACCGACGCACTGTTGCAGGACCCTGTATGACACCGAAAAAATAAAGACAAAAGTAAAATACCCCATTTTCGGCGGAATTTGTACAACATAAACTTACGCTAGCAAAGTCTTAAGATGCGACGCATTTTTACCATCCTATACGATGAGTTTGACTAAACAAGAGACTATCGATATATTGGTGCTTTTTTGAGCCGAATCAAATTTCTTTTAGCTTTTTTTGCATGTTATAAAATTCCAATGATACTTAAAAAACAACCCTCCTACATTCTTAAAGCGATCAAGCAAAAAAAAAACGTTAAGCCGCTTGTGAGCAAGAGGCGAAGAGTGCACTTTCAAATCTGTTTTTTCCATTTTAATAGCCCTTATGGGCATTTCGTCCCTTACCGAGAATACAACCATGAAATAATTTTTAATTTCTGATTGAATGCCACCATCAATACCAAGTCTGTAAGTGGTGTAGTTCCGGACCTTTTGTAACTCAGACAGACAGACATCAAGAGCGCAACAATGCACTTTTTATTTTTTGAAAGTGAAAGTGGACTAAAAATTAAAAACAAACGGTCATCGGTCCGTAAGGGACGACTATAAGAATAACTACATACTCTAATGCTATATGACTAAGAACGAGACTAAGAATCTACCCCCTCTTCTGTTTGTTGAAACAACCCACATAAGCTGATTAACCCCAGTGGCGATTTTAAACGTCAGTGATAAGGTGACTGGCATTTGGTCAGAGGCGTCCTTTGGCTTAGACTTGAACCCATATTACCATTTATGGAATTTATTTCATTGTTTAAAAGGTTAAAGTATTATAAAATAGCCGCTTACAATTTACAGTGAATCGACAAACTTCTCTGTAATTTTTTGGTGTTGAAATCGTAAAAATAAACTTGAATTCAACTTTTTCGTCTATCCCTTGTGCCGATCAATCGCTAAATGTCACCGGTAATTCCGTAATCATTTTTAGTTAAGAAGTAGAAAATTAACAGCCATTTTGCTCTTACGCGAACTGCTCACGGAAATTTCGCATTTTAAAATCTACGACATCTTCCGATTGTGACAGTCACTTTTGACCACAGTAGATGCATGTTGCCCTGTGAAGGAGTTAACACGAAATTGTGTCATTTTCCTTCTTTCAATAAAGAAAAATGTTTCATATTTTATTAAAATAATACTTTATACATGTATGCGATAATTACAGGATAACATATTATTTATATAATATAACAATAGAAACATATTTCCAGTGATAAAGTTCCATAAAAATTTCAACCAAAAACAATGACTGATCGTGATGTCATAATTATCTATTTATGTGATTCTATAAACAACATTTGATCAATTATTTATAAATGACATGTACACATGTATTCCTTATACTAAAATTGATGTATTTAGTCAGTTAACTCTCGTCCTTTACTATGATGTGATTAAAACTGGAATCCCACGCTAATACCCTTCTTAACAGCCTTCTGTAATTTACATAAAAATAAAATTTACACCACGTACTTGCTTTATTGGATCATATATAACGATTGGATGTACAAAGTATAAAATAGGTGGGTAGGCGGATAGGCAGGGTATTTTAGGTGAATATTTATAAAGTGTGAAGTTGATGTTTTATTCAATCTGGAAAATTGGTATACTTTCTATACAATACCTAATGAGCGCTTTTAGGATGAATTCGTATTCGTATCGCTGTACATTGTAAATGAATATAGTTACGTTTGTATGAAGCATTAAATATTTACTCGAAGCGTGGCGTAAACCTCGTACAAAATTCATTCATTCTCTTTCCATTTACGGTTTAGAGATACAGTTTTGGCCTTTTGATATTATTTACATTAACACAGTATAGTTTATAGAATTACTTTGTCTGCATAATTAAACAAAACCACTTGAAAGTCCCCATTGGCACTTATACGAATGTTTTAATTTCACTGATACAACAAATTCACTTTAGCAAATTTCTCTTACCATTACGATCACATGTGTCAAGTGGATTAGGAAGATGTCTATTGTTACACTGATAACTAGCAGAGCACCGCTAGCATTGATATTATAAGCAACCACGATGACGGACTGCACTGAAGCCATGATAATCCTCGCCCTCCATGTTGCATTGCGGCTGGATTTTCACCTAAACATACCATTTTAATATTAGTACTTTGGTAATTACGTTAAGTAATTAAAAAAAAATCGTAATTTACTGAGTAGGTACCTCTATAGTATAATGCTGGGGTTAATGGAACTGAATATTGCAGTTGAAAAAGTTGATCTCAAAGCGCAATTTACCGTTGGATTAGATCAATTCAGATCGTAATCTAATTATAGACCATGTAATTCAAATAAGATGGTCTAGTTGAAATTTTAGATACAAGTGTATTAGTTTGAAATTGTTGATATATAGGCTATTAAAATGTTAAATGC